ATGGAGAAAATACACCTCTACTATCTGTTAATTTGACATATTTTTAACATTTTACTAAAAACGCGAGAAATGAATGGAAAGTCAGTTTTTCTTTTCAAAATCGAGTTGGGGATATGGATTTACATATTGATTCCAAGGTGTATTTAATAAGGTGTATGCATCAGATACAACAACAAACATTTTACAAAAACAACATTGTTGTTATAGAAATTAAATTGTCATGCTGACAAATAGGTTTTGACAAAAGTAAATAAAAACAATTATACATTTCTTCAGGTCGAATAATTTTGAAAAGTGTCCCACGTGTAAGCCTAGGTTCCTTGTGGATTTTGCTTATATTTTAAATTACAATATAATTTTCGAAGAAGTGGCTTCTTGGTAGAAAATTGTAGGACATAAATCCACGGTCAAACACCACAGACCCGTATGCAATCGGTCAATAGAATCTCATTTTAAGTTGTAAAAAAATTTGTATTTAGCCAGGCGTTTGTAGAAAACTAATTGACAAATTCTAATACATGGTCTGTTCCCGTACTGCAAGAATCTACTAGATTTTACTATTTTCTTCGATATCATGAAGGAAAATTCGTTATCGTATTAAAAAGTAGTAGATTCTTGCAGTATGGGAACAGACCAAAGCTATATAACACCATTTCCTTGATTTTGAGGGAAACTGGGGATTTAGGGGCAGATTTCCTTTTCCTTAACAATCTCCTTTGGTATTAAATCGATCATAAGAACACACATATACATATGTATATTTGCAATCTGGAACCCAAGTTGTACTTGCGGCAAATATGTGGAACAAATCAGCGGCCGGATTTAGAGCTGATTTAAGTTCACGCTTTCTTGTCGTGACATGGGGCATTAACAAATACTCCGTCCCTATAAATTCATAATTATTTCACTTTTATTAATAAAAAAAATAATAATCGAAAACAAAAGAAAATATTTTAAATCGAAATGAAAGGTTGACAAATATTTTTGACAATTTACTTTACAAACAATAAAGAAAAAAGTTTAAAACCATATGATTGTCACTTACACCTTATTAAATACACCTCGATTGATTCATTCACAAATCATACATTTCTTCCTACAAACGTTGTAAAATTAATCTTCAAACAAACGATTTCAAACGATTTTCGAATATATTTTGTGGGGTTCGCCTTTCGATGGTTAACTATTAAAGATAAGAAAAAGAGCGGTGTCATTCACAGAGAATAAAAAAATGTAGTGTCAATTAAAAAAAAAACAAATGTCTTTCCAAGTGGGGGGAAGATGAAGATCAGAGATGGTCCGTCAGAAATAGTGACGTAAATGACATACATTTCCGACGTATAATACATACGTCAGAAACGTCGGAAACCCATCCAAAATCATTAGGTTTTTGACAAAATAGCTATTTCCATTAATCAATTTGGAAGTAAGGTATGCTTTACTCAAATTCATATCAAATTTTCAAAAATTTATTCCCAAAAAAGTTTAGATTTTTTATCAGTTCTAGTAAGGAATAGTCTGATATATGGAAAAATAATACATATTCTTGAAAATAACAGTATATGGTATTAATATTCAAATATATGACGTTTACTACATTTATTACATTTTATACAGGTATATGACGTTTACACCTTTTTGACAGTCGAAAACCTGAAAATTCGCCATACGGACCATCCCTGATGAAGATAAACAAGACAAAATAGATGAGATGGTTTACCTTCGAGGGAAAATGAAGAAAATCCTTTCTTTTTCTAATTGGGTTCGATGAAGATTGGTTGTATGTCTCTGATTAAAGTGGAGAAAATAATTTTTTTTTAAATCTCAATTCGAATCCTTTTTTATTTTGAAATATTGATATTGAATTTGAATGACAACACAAAACAACAATACAATAATACACAAATACGAACTGAAGGTGCATGAACATCTTAATCATTTGTAAAACCATTTTGCTTAAAATTAAAAACATCAGAAGCCACAGCATCGCGTATCCAATCCAACGAGGGAGAAGCATGACCATACAGACATGCCCAGGTATCTTGCCAAAGCGTCATGTGTCACTGAATACCCGGACGGACATACGGACGACAAGCTCCCAATTTAATAAATGTCCTCCTGTTTGTTTTCTCCTATCCTGAAAGAGGAAAAAAATAATATTTGATTTGTCAGCTGTTATTTATCTACGTATACATACACATTTCACAGCTTCCAATTGTGGCAATTTGTCAACCAATACCTTTATATTTTTGTTTGAAATTGCTCCCTACTAACTCTGAAATGCACAAAAAACCTTTGTCGTTCTAAATTATAATAATATTAATTATGAATGCAAACAAAAAATAAGTTAGTTACTATTTTTTTTGAATAGTAGTATAGCATACTTTAGGGAGAAAAAAAAAATTATTTGTTGCTACAAAAGCAGGGTTGTATTTAAAAATTATCTCGATTTAGCATTTGATTTGGAGCAAATGGAGATATTGAGTGGATTTAATTTTATAAGGTAAATCGAGGTGAATTCAGCTCGACTTACCATGTAATTAATGTTATAATTTTTGTGGTAATGTGGTGATGGAGAGTGAGAGAGGTAGGTGATATTAGAGGAAGGTGTCATGGCGAGAAGGAATCTCGGTGGGTGAGAGTTTCCTTGGCAGGTTAACCGTCGGGGGAACAACTGTTTCTATGCCTATAGGTTTAGTTTAACTGCAAACATTCTTTCCTATTTATTTTTTCCTTTTCTTTTCTCTGGCATATTTCGGGTTTCCCTAAATTTCATCAGTTTATTTCGATTAAAAGCCCGGTATGATTTAGTTTTTTTTTCTTTGTTCAGCCGTATAGTTCATTGGTTGAAAAGAGCCACCCCTCATCCGGCGAGCTTAAGCCGCGCAAAACGCCTGCATACCGGCAAAGCCAATTAATGAACAGAAACCAAAACCTTTTTAAATCATCGGCAGTTACAACATTTGGTCTGTTCCAGTACCTTATTAATAGTAAAGCTAGTAAAAGGGACATTTTTAAAAATTGCTCTCAGAGTAAAAAATAATATGAAAAGTTCGGGAAAGCAAATCTAGTAAATATGCCAAAATTAGATGGCAATACTTCAAAATCAACATAACAGCCAATCAGAAATAGGCATTCCTGTTTACCATTTTTACTCGGCCAAATTTCTCGAGTAAAGATTTTACAAAGAGAACGCCATTTTGTTTTGTTGGTTGAGGAACGGTTTTCGAGTAAAAAGTTGCAAAACACGTGAAATGAGTAGATTATTTTAGGTTCTGGAACGGAACTATTGTTATATATTTCAAAACACAGTCTCACATTTTGTATATGACTTTGGCATAACAAGCCACAGTATGAAAAAATTTTAATGTATAAGTTGCAAATACTTGTACCTTGGGGCTAAGCAGAATGTTCGCATTGAGCCTTCCGTTGCGTTATGTTTTGTACAAAATACAACAACCACAAGGAAACGATAACATCAAAATTGTGCGCCGCGCTTCGGAGTTAAATATATTTTAACTTTTGCCGCGGTCATTCTGCTTAGCCCTTTATAAACACGCTTATATAAAAAATACCGATTATGAAAATTGCCAAGGACCATTCAACAGGTCGTGTAAGAAGCAATCATTATAGACTATTTTGGTTGAAAATCCCATATACTGTCAATTTTTTTGTTTTCATGAAGTAAAGTCAAAATTGAGAGCATTGTGATAGATTGGGCCATGATGCAACCATAAGGTGATGTATCAAAACAAAAACCTTTGTTTTTGTTTCGACCAATTGTCAAATATTTCCTTATAATATTTCACATGGTTGGCAACATTGGCTTGGGCATGGCCTATAAATAAGGGCATCCAGGGAGACCAGCTGGATATCTGCGCCACACAAGTTTGCTGTCAAAATTCATTATTGTGAATTGACTTATGGAAACGTAAACAAAGTCGAAATTTTTGACATTAGACTTGAGGAAAAAACAGCTTATTTATAGATCTTGAGCTTATGTGAAATCATCTGGTCTTATTGGACAACCATGATCCAATAATAATAATATTTCTCATAAGGCCATATGATTTCACCCGAGCTGTCAAAACGCTTTCGATTTTGACTAAATTGTGTGAAAACGTAAAAAAAAATATTTGACAGTATGGGGAATTTTACTCCAAAATTGTCGATAACGATTGCTTGTGAAGCGACCTGTTTATTGGATCATGCGGACAACCATGGCACAATGAATAGGTAGTCCATTTAGAGCAGCTGATATCTTGATTAACTGTCAAACTGGCTAATTTTACTTGAATTCGATGTGCAATGCTGACAACATTTTGAAATATTATAAGGAAAACTTGATAGATGGTCGAGACAAAAACAAATGTTTTTGGTTTGATACATCACCTTATTATTACATCATGCGGACCAAGATCTATTAATAAGGTCACCAAGGTAGCAATCGAAATCGGAAAACAGCTGTTTTTTCTCAAGTCTAATGTCAAAAATTTCGACTTTGTTTACGTTTTCATAATGGAAACTTGAGAGGTATCGATTTTGTAGCTGGTCTCCCTGGGTGACCTTATTTATAGGCCATGATGCGGACAACCTTATAATTGAGCCATGATAATTGCAAATAACGATTTATTTCGATTTCTAACTCCAAATCGATAACACGATTGCAACGTAACAATTGCTAATTTGTCCGTCTCTAGAATCAGTCATCATTTGCAGGAACAGAAGGAGCACGTACTATAGTCATACTCGTAATATTAGTAGTCACTTAATATTGGTTATAAAAATACTGTGAAATCCCATCCTCCTGTGTTTCCTATTTACACGTTGAAAATAACAATTCATAAGCTAATTTTTCTTTTGTTCTCTTCTGCACGACGTAGACGAAGTGTTGCTATATCAAATTCCTAACAAAAAAACATTCGAGTAAACAAAATTCTTTTGGAGAAAAAGAAAGTGAAATACCAGTGGGCCAGCCAGCTAATTGCAATTCGAACGAAATGAAATCATCGATTTTCGTTGCCTTCCTCTTAGTGGGTCTTTTCGTTGCCCCCTTAAATTGCCAAGGTATGTATTTAACAGAGAGCTGGAACATTGATCTTCCACATATTTAAAACAAAAATTGTATATTATTTTTCGTAGAAATGATTGCGTTGATTGCGATGCAATGGTTTTGTACGTCGTTATAAATTACGTTGTGGTATTTGTGTGTGGGGGGAGGGGTGGAATGTAGATATAAATACAAAAATATACATATGAAATGCAAAATGGTGTTGCAATTTTAGTAAGAAGTACATCCGTCGTTAGTCTGGGGACGTAAGGAGGAGGAGGTTTGGAAATCTTTTCTGGAGGGTTCATAAGTAAATTATGAAAGGAAAGGAATTTTGTATGTTGGTGCTTTAATGATTGATAAATAAATAAACAATGGGGGTATGGACGGCCATGTCTTGGAGATTTATCAGAATCAAACTTTTGCAAGTTTCATTTCTTTGTTTCTTCTGACCACATATTACATTGATAAACAAATGCATTTATTTTCACGTTTTCCCCCTTAATACTGTTTGCAACTGATACTATATGCAAATGTTAAATTGGTCTCTTCTGGAATAATCTTTGAATTGTTTGTTTTGCTATTTTGTTGTATGCGATAATAACTATAAGAGATAAACAATTTTGTTTTTTTATTTCTCCAAATGTATTAAACAGGTTATCTATCTAGTGTTGAAACGAATATTTATAGGATTGTTTAAACTGAACATAAAACCCAATAAAAAGGGGAATAAAATAATGTTTTAGGCAATAGGATTTGAATATATTCAATTTGTTCGCCATTGAAATTGTACTAAATTTTATATTTTTCAAATAAATCTTTGTTCATAATTGTGTATTAAATTCGTTAAATAAGTAAAACCGAGTTTCTATGACAGTGGCATCGAACAATTTTTATATACAGTTGTGTTCATAAAAATATGACATTCAAACAATCAAATTAAAGATCAAAAATGAAATCTATAATCCAGAGAAATTTCCTGTCACTTTCTTGAATTTCTCCAGTTTGGTGAAATTCATGAAAAATATGCTGTTCATTAAGATAGTAGTGGTCGAAGTGAATGCTTATAAAAAATAGATAATTGTCGTTCGATATTTTAATTAATTACCATTAATTTAGTTAATGGGATTAATTTGTGGGGGAAGAGGTAAACCTTGCACGGCTGCGACAGGAGAATTGATAATAAAGATGAGAAATGAAGGAAAAATGTACAAAGAAAATTTTAAACGCAATAACAGATAAGAAAAAGCTTGAACAAATTGGCCCTAGATGTAGCACTAAAATTTGGGTAAAGTAGGTTGAACCCTTCATCGTCCTCTGAAATGATAAAAACTAAGTTAAATCTACAAATTAGTGATGTGCCAGAAGTTCTAGAAAGATTCCTCTTTTGACAAGGAAGCATGCCAATGCTATGTTGAGTTTTGCAAAATTTCATATAGGCTGACCACTAGAAAAGTGGCGTAACATATTATGGACAAATGAAACAAAAATTCTTTTATATAGAAGAAGAGGCTCCAGAGACAGTATGTTCGAATTCCCCAAACATGCAAAATTTCATATAGGCTGACCACTAGAAAAGTGGCGTAACATATTATGGACAAATGAAACAAAAATTGTTTTATATAGAAGAAGAGGCTCCAGAGACAGTATGTTCGAATTCCCCAAACATGGAATACCAACTTCAATCAACAGCAAAAACTGTAAAGGGTTGAGTATAATGATTTGGGCCTGTGTTTCATACAATGGCGTAGTGCCAATCCATATGATTGATGTATAATAGATAGAACAGTGCTGTGTATTTTTATAATAATATGCATTACTATTATGAAACGACACTTAGGACCTAATTCTCGTTTAAGAAAAATAAATTTATTTATTTTTATTAATTACTTAACACTGGAACTTTGAAAACCAATGAATGGTGTTAACAGTTGATCTGTTACCGTACCGTAAATCGAAAAAAAATAATAATTAAAAAAATTAATAATAAACCTAACCTAACCTATGGTTAAATCGAAAAAAAAATAATAGAGGATTCTTGCATATTATGGAACGGAGAAAATGTGTATTATATTTATAAGTAGATTTTAATAACTAATTAATATAAATTTATTATTGCAATATTCTAGAATAATCTGAATATGTAATTTATCATTTGAGGTCTGATCAAAAAGAATAACCGTAACTTAATTTTTGTCTTTTCAACAATAAAATAATGTCCTCTTGAAAATACCTCCCCCACTATCATATATAATAAATATAAATAAAAGCTCCTGTTTGGATTCGATTTTGTATCTCCTCAATCGTAGTAAAACGCTTTTGTTGTGGTTATACAACGATTGAAATGGCGTTCTGCTAATTGTAGACTCGCCAAACCACACAATCAACATTTCAAAATCCTTGGGAATTTTATTTCATTTTTCACACAAAACTTGATACAGTTTCTTTGGTCCCTCTTTTGCAATGTTACAAATCGAAGAGCACATCACACCTTTTTATACATCAAAAACAAACTTCCCAGCCAAAAATGTGTACCAACATAAAAGAATAAAAAAAGCGAAAGTCCCAATTACATACCCATTCACGAAATTTCAAAAATTGCGATTATTTTTTTCAGACCTCTTTTTTATTATTCCCTATCTCTGATATACACATTCTACTACCAAACGAAAGTAGTCACAACATTGATCGTCACAACATTGATGTTGTAACTTAATCTTTTAATACACAATCTTAATTATTGTATATCCTATGTGGACTTTGATTGTCAACTCAAATAGTTTGCATTGGATATCTTCTCGCAAATGAATCATTATTTATAAAAAATATTATACTTTCCAAAAAGTGCTTAAAAGCAAAACTCTTGTGGAGAATGAATGTAAATAATAAAATTGTGACTACCAGAAATGTGATATTTTTGCAGAAATACAGTTAGACAAATAATGCAACATATACATATATTGAATATATCTAAAATAAACATAAATAAAAACCTGTCATACATTTAGTCCAAATAAAATAATTATAATTTTTTTCAGATGCCACGAAAGGGGAAAATAAAAGTGTGGTGTTAGATGAAAATAATAATAATAATCCTGCTGTAACAACGGTTGTGCCTAATAAAGATGATACAACTACAGACAAACCTACTACAACAACTGATAAGCCGACAAGCACAACAAGTACAGAAACGCCTACAACAACAACAACCACAGAAAAAAGTACGACAACATCAACAACACCAGCTTCAAATGATACTACAACCTCGAGTACAACAAGTACGTCTTCAACAACTACCACCACAACAACAGTTGCACCCGATACAACAACAACTCCTGCTCCAACTACAACAACCACAACAACAGTCGCTCCAAATACAACAACCACAACAACTGTTGCTCCAAATACAACAACAGTTGCACCCACTACCACCACCACTCCATCACCAAATCCAACACCTTTGCCACCATGCCGTCGCTTCGATGGCCCCTCCTTCATCGGTGGTATTGTCCTTACATTAGGCTTATTGGCTATTGGCTTGGTAGCATATAAATTTTATAAGGCCCGCAATGAACGCAACTACCACACTCTTTGAGCCGCCACCGCTTTTACGTCTGCATTTAATGCGACTGCGAATGGCGCATCTGCCAGTGCGACTCCACATACAGATGCTGAACGTGTACGTTTTATGCCGGCAATACCTCTGCGGGCTCCACCATCACCCCCTCCCCCACCACCTACGTCGCAGCAGACAAACAATCAACAGTCCTCCCCCACTGCTCATCAAAGGCTCCTCTATACATAAACACAAAACAAAATAATGAATTTCCCAGAATATTTCTTACAAATTTCAAATGTTGAATTTTGCGCGGAGCTAATTTACAAAATTCCAAAATATAATTAAAATAATATAATAAATATATACATACATGGATATATAAAACAAATAACTAAGAAGATAAATGAATTCATAATGCCTTTCAAACATTTTATTTTTATCGAATATATACATACCTACTATATATATATATACACAAAACAGAATTTGCACTAAAATGTGAAGACTTAAATTAGAAAACAGAAAAAAACCAATCGTTTTTCTATGTATGTATACAAAAATTTGCGTTAAACAGCTGGTAATGATGATGAAGATACACCATAATTTAAAGTTTATCGTAAGAAATGATACAATTTTGAGACTGTATAAAAAGTAAAATAAGGAATATGTATGAATGAAAACAAAATTAATATGAATAAAATGCAAAACATCTGCTTATTTTCACGTTTATCCTATATATTTAATCAAATGTAATTATTTTTTATTTTTTTGAAAAATAAAAAAAAAATCACAGCCTCCCACACAATGACGCCTAATAAATTGAATTTTAAAAACCGAAATCTCAATACTATTACCAGCAAACACACATATATAACATATCCTCAAATATTTCCTACTTTACTTACTTTAAAAAATATATAGTTCATAAACAACTATTTGATAGAATATCTATATATAATGGGACACGGGGATACTAATGAATTTGTAAATCTACAGAGGAAATTTTCACTTTGCAGGATAATTAATGATGATTAAAGCGGTGGATATTCGCTAGGGAGAGATTTCGCCTGTGAAAAATAGTTTGCTTTCACATTCTCGCCTTATTTTCAATGATAGTAATAAGCAAAGAATGCGAGATGCGAAAAGTATTGTTGTTGCCATATTGTAATTTGTGCTTCCCCATTGTATTTTAATTTTGTAATATTTTACCTATTGATTTAAAAAAAAAAACACTTTTCGCGGCTTTGTAATTAAAAGGTAATCAGGGTGTCAATTCCACGTGAATTTACTCGCACTTCCACTTCGACTTATACTAAACAACATTCCAGAGTGATTTTTTTCGCATTCTCGCTTTCGCCTTATTCTGAATAAAGTTCGAAAGCGAAAAAATCAGCTTTAGGGAAACATTAGTTATTTTGGATTACAGGGAGTGGGAGAATGAGATGACATTTTGTACAAAATTTTTCGTTAATAAATATAAGGGAAGCTGACTACAAAAACATACAGCCTTATTCTGGATGTGAATTTTCGTCTTATTCTGAACAACATTTTTGTGTGAATTTTTTCGCATTCTCGCTTTCGCCTTATTCTGAATGAAGTTCGAAAGAGAAAAATTCCGCTTTGGGGAAAAATTAGGTATTCTGGATTACAGGGAGTAGGAGAATGAGATGAAATTTTGTGCGAAATTTTTCGCTAATAAATTCAAAGTGAGTTGACTACAAAAACATAAGTTATAAACATTTTTATGAAAAATATTAACACAATACATATTCTATGACGATTTAGAATATTATAAATGATAATAAGCAAATATTTATCTGGAAAACAGCAAATAAAATGCCTTTGGAAATCCTATTGATAATGATGCCTGCTGAACCAAATATTGCCAAGGAATGTATAAAGGTAATAATGAATATTTAAGTCGAGTTTGATGCATTTGGGAGGCGAAAAACAGACATTTTGGGTGAGGATCTGTCTCTCAAGAAAAAAATTATAGAAAAACCAAATTTGCCTAATGAGCCGCTTAACAGTGAAAACTTATCGTATTATTTGAAGGGAGAAATAAAGGAGTAGGTCACTTCAAGAATTTGGAGAGATAAAATATAGATATTAAATTAAAAGGCACACAATTATGTGCCTGTGTTTTTGCCATCATAAAAAAATGTTCTTTTATTTGTAATCTATTGTAGTTGTTGTACCAAATTGCATCAAAACAATGAACAGCTGTTTCACATGTCATATTGTAGGTTGCCATATTTTCAAGCTTTAATTAATTTTCTTTTAATTACAAAGCATTTATAAAGCGGACTCTTGATATTTCACATTTGTATTGTTATAAAGTTTAAACAACAATAACAAGTAACAATTTTTAATAAAATAATCAATAAATAAAATATTGAAAAATATTACACAATTAAAATACAATGGGGCAACATACATTACAACTTAAATTACAATATGGCAACACACATTACAACTTAAATTATAATATGGCAACACGAATCTTTTTTTCAACCACCATTTTCGAAAACTCGAATCCGCATCTCGCATTTTTTGCGTCTCCCTATTCATTCAGAATAAGACGAGAATGTGAAAGCGAAAATTTTTGTGCATGCGAGATATCTCCCAGCGAATATCCAGAATAAGGCTGATAAGTAATAAAAATGTTTATGAAAAATATCCACACAATACTTACGATTTAGAATATTACAAATATGATTGTATCCAAAATTTTAACCCGAAAAACAACAAATAAAATGGCATTGGAAATCCTATTGATTACGATGCTCAACCAAATACTGCCACGGAATAGATGAAAGTAATAAGGAATATTTAAGCCGAGTTTGATGCATTTTGGTGGCGAAATACAGACGTTTTCTCTCAAGAAAATAATATTAAAAATGATTTGCCTGATTAGCCGCTTAACAGTAAAAAATTCAAATATAAATGATGAAAGAACAATAATAAATCTACATAAAATATTTTTTTCCAAAAATTATCATGTGCATGATTTAAATGGGAAAATAAAGGAGTAGGAAAATAAAGGAGTTATCATAAAATAACTGGCCACTTTATGAATTTGGGGGATAAAATATTGAAATTAAATAAAAAAGCACATAATTATGTAGTGAAATAATAAACTGTGAATTAATTCAATCGATGTCTTCCTATTTTTCGTTGTGTCTTTGACATAGTTCAATGCGGTTTTTGCCTTCATAAAAAATGTTATTTTATTTGTTCTAGTTGTTGCACCAAATTGCATCAAAACAATAAACAGCTGTTTCACATTCCATATTGTATGTTCCCATATGTTCAAACTTTATTTTCTATTAATTACAATGCAATTATACAGCGGATTCTTGATATTGTTATAAAGTGTAAATAAAAATAAAAAGTAACAATTTTTAATAAAAAAATCAATAAATAAAACAAATAAACATTGCAAATTAAATTACGATATGGCAACACACATTACACACACACATTCAACAACCATTTTCGAAAATTCGAATCCGCATCTCGCATTTTTTGTGTCTCCCTATTCATTCAGAATAAGGCGAGAATGTGAAATCGAAAATTTTTTACATGCGAGATATCTCCCTAGCGAATATGCAGAATAAGGCTGATTAACTTAAAGTTTGAAAATATGGCAACATACAAGGGCATGCGAAACAGCTGTTTATTGTTTTGATGCAATTTGGTGCAAAAACTACAATAGATTACAATTAACAGACGTTTCCACGACAGAGGGGTATACGATCCGAAACAACACGAGTCTTACTCGACCAACGTCTGTCACCTCAGCCCATTGTGTAAAAGCAATAGGGCTGCTACAACAACAACAAATAAAAGAACATTTTTCGGACATGGTCTAACCACCAACATACTTGACGACGTAGAAGTACAAAAAAGAAATTTTTTTTATGATGGCAAGAACCGCATTGAACGATGTCAAAGACACAACAAATAATGGGAAGGAATTTGCAATTGAATTAAATTCATTCGTAGTTTATTATTTTACTACATAATTATGTGCCTTTTTATTTAATTTCGATATTTTATTTCCAAAAATTCTTAAAGTTGCAAATAATTTTATGATATGCTCCTCCTCTATTTCGTCCTTCAAATCATGCATATCATAAATTTGAAAAAAATATATATTTTTGTAGCTTTATTATTGATCTTTCCCAATTTGTATTTGAGTTTTCCAAATAAAATTCACTGCGAGTTTTATTTCAGAATAACATAAAAGGGAAGAGCGAATAAATTCACGGTGAAGTTATGTGTATTAAGGCTGATAAATTTCCATAAGTATTCACCTCAACAATCCAATAGCGTTTTCACGACAGAGGGTCTACGATCCGAGTAAACTCGGCCAACGTCTGTCATCCCAGTCCATTGTGTAAAAACAATAGGGCTGCAACAACAATCCAATAAAAATCATATTTCCCAATTTCAAGATTACAGGCCGATCAGTTCAACTAAATGTAAATTTTTCTAAATTTGGTACCATTTACCAAACTTCCTACATTACTACAACGCAGTTGTAATCTAATATCCTAATTTCAGCTCTACAGGTTTACCCAAATCCAAATGTAGTACGATTTAGTACAAATTTCCAAAACTACTACTACGACGAAAAATATGACTCCCCTAGATATGAACTGATGACGAACCTCTAAAGTTTTGGCTCTAAACTCAACTTAAGCCTTAATATAAAATAACTCTCGTTAATTGAACTTAATGTTTGAAGATAAATGACAACTATTTTTTAATATTTGTACCTAAGTTTTATTAGATTTATTTTTCTTTTTTCCTTTGTCAGCATTATTTTCTTTCGATTTAATTTTTTCTGGTTTAGGTTTTTCCGAACTTTCAATTTTTGTTTTTTTCTCGGCCGGTTCATCGTCGTCGTCAAACTTTGCCTCTGTGCTCTCTACGCTTCCAATGCGTTTTGCTTTTTGTTTTTTAGCCTTCTTCTTTATTGTTTGGTTATCAAACTTTACAAGTAATTGATTGCCGCCTAAAGATGGTTTTTGCTTCACAGCATTGCGTGCTTCCAGTGTTGAGTTCAATGTTACGGAGGCAATACTTTTATCCTTATTTTGTTTACCTTTGCCGGCCTTTATTTGAATATCCACAGCCTTTGGGTACAGTTCGCGTATCTGAGCAACAGTAGCAGATTTCGGAAGGTTGAAAATAACAATGGTAGGCGTAAAGATCTTTTTAAATTGGGCCTTTTTACTGGCTTTCTTCAAACGATTTTTAGCCTTTTTATTTTCCACAGACTTTATTTTACGTTCTACCAACTCATCTATGTACTCATCATTTTCCGTTCGTGGAATGTTCACTTTGCACTTGGGCAAGTCACCATTTTTAATGGACTGTCTAAGTTCATTCCACGCCGTATCACGGTCTTCTTTGCTATTGAATTCCACTAGACAGAAGCGTACATGCTTTTGTCGAGGCTTGTGCACCTTAGTAATTAGGGGAGATAATTTTTTAGCCATTTCTTCCAACTCCTCCTCGGATTCAGGAAGTTTTTGTGGGAAAAGTATGAACAATTGCTTTCCCTGGCGTTCTTTATATTTCTCGCGAAGAGTTTCCCTGATTAATTCAGTTTTAGATTTTGGCGTTTCACCTTCATCTTCGGAGTCATCTTCATCCGATTCTGTGTCACTGGCATCCAATTGATCATAATCTTTTTCCTCCTCAGCACCGCTCTCTTCGTCGTTAGAAACCTCTATTTCCTCTTCCTCGCCATCGAAGTCATCACTGGAATCATCGCTTTCATCTAGCAGTGGCTGTTCGTTCTTCTTTTGCTTCATTTTATTAAGTATTTTTAACAAATTTTAATTAACAAATATTCTCCACGAAGAACGTACTCTGCACGTGTTGTTAGAAAATTAAAATCAAAAACAAACTAAAAACATATCGACATTTTTCTAATCGATTTATAACGTACATTCGATAACTCTTAAATGGTAAGGGAATTTACAACTGTGCATCAGATGCATGCAATCATATTCTATTTTGTTGTCTGTTCCCGTACTGTCAGAATCTACTAATTTTTTGTATTTTCTATGATATCATAAAGGGAAATTTGTTGTAGTCAATGCGACCATTCTGCTTAGCTCTTTAAGCGGCAAGCAGAATGAACCTGTGGAGACATATGCCACGTTATGTGTTATCAAAATACAACAACCACAAGGAAGCAATAACCCTAAAGCGCTAAGCAGAATGCACGCATTGAGTCATCCCTTGCGTTATGTGTTATCGAAAGTACAACAACCACAAGGAAACGCGTTAAGCGTTTTTTGTTATCGCGTTAACGCACGCAAAAAGTTAAAATATATTTAACTCCGAAGCGCAGCGCACATCAACTTCGAGCGTTTGTGTTATCGTTTCCTTGTGGTTGTTGTATTTTCGATAACATATAACGCGACGGCTGGCTCAACGCGAGAATTCTGCTTAGCCCTTAATAGTGCGGAACATTATACACAAAATATCAGCAAAATCAACAGATGATAGATTTTATCTTTTATTTTGGGAATTGTTGTCAACGATTAAAAAAATCTGGAATTTCCTTTTTTGGTGTCATGTTCCTTTTGTGATAATTTTTCAAACATTTATAAATATAATCGAAGGTCGGTAATGAAAAGTCGACTTCTACTTTTAGGCTTTTCAAAACAAAAAGTCGTTTAGTCGAAAGTCGACATACCCACCCCTACAACAAACTAGTTCGTTCCGGACCACAAACAGCTGATCAACTGTGTTCAAATTGTGATCAGCTGTTGGTTGGTCCTCCTCTCCAAGGTATATTTAATAAGGTAGCCGCATCGGCCCAGCTGTTGGACAAATAAATGTCAAAAATGTTGTTGTAATGTTGAACCAAAAAATTAAAAAACAAAATTATAAATGAAAATCTCCGAATTTCGAATAGATTTTTTGGCAATACTTTTATTAACATTTTCTACAAGAATTTGTGTAAAAAAATCTTGTCAATCTGTTTGTTTTGGCAAAATATTTTTGACATATCAAAATACAACAACCTATGTTTGTTGTAGAAATTTGCCGATGCGGCTACCTTGTATATCTACCTTGCTCCTCTCGTTTGTTTTGATTCTCATTCGCCACGGTTTGTCCTCGTTTGCTTTCAACTTCATTCGCCAGGTTAATCCTCGGCTCGTTTGCTTTCACCTCAGGTTTACAGGGTTGTAATTAGCAAACTCTGAATGTGAGCTACCCTTGCTACTCTCATCCTTTCCTTAAACCTCATTCGTAAACAATCCAACTCCTTTTTAGTCTCCATCCCACCTCATTCGTAACTTTCCGTCTTCTTTTTTGACTTCTTCTTTACAGGGCATTTTGTCTTATCCCATCCCATTCGTAAAGGTGGAACGTTTTTCAATATTTCTTTTCTGCAGAGACTTGTGTTAAAAAGTTTTATTTTTACATTAGAAATAGTTTTTAAATAGATTTATTTAAAAAAGCCAACATTTCCAATCATGGATCCAGCTCTACTAAAGGAACGCGAGGCGTTCAAAAAGCGGGCTATGGCCACGCCAACGTAAGTTTCATTGAATATTCATTTTGAGGCTATAATGATGTTCCATTGTATTTGGCAAGTGTGGAGAAAAAGCCCAAGGTGGAAAAAACATTTGTTGCTCCTAAAGATGACCGACAACAAAAAAAGATACGTCCTCCAACAGCACCGAAGCTGGATGCAACTACCTATAAAACCATGGCCGGCAGTTCCCAGTATAGATTTGGTGTCTTAGCCAAAATTGTCAAACATATGCGTACTCGACATCAGGATGGTGATGACCATCCACTGACATTGGACGAAATTCTGGATGAAACAAATCAACTGGACGTCGGACAATCTGTTAAAAATGTATGAATTGTCCATTGCAAGATGATTGCAGATGATTAACATTTGTTGTATTCATTGCAGTGGTTGGGAACAGAGGCTCTGATGAATAATCCTAAAATAGAAGCCTCACCAGATGGTCAACGTTTTAGTTATAAACCTGTTTATAAGATCAAAGATGGAAAGAGTTTGTTGCGCCTATTGAAGCAGCATGATCTCAAAGGATTGGGTGGTATACTCTTGGAGGACGTTCAGGAATCGCTGCCTCACTGCGAAAAAGTTCTTAAAAATCGGGCTTCTGAGATTATATTCATTGTTAGGCCAATTGACAAAAAGAAAATTCTATTTTATAATGACCGCACTGCCAATTTCACGGTATGTCTTTTGTCTAGATTCTGTATTTGTACGGGATTTCATATATATATATCACTTACAGGTTGACGAGGAATTTCAAAAGCTTTGGCGTTCTGCGACTGTGGACGCAATGGATGATGCTAAAATTGACGAATATCTTGAAAAGCAAGGTATACGATCTATGCAAGACCATGGTCCTAAGAAACAAGTTCCCAAACGCAAAAAGCTGGCCAATAAGAAACGTCAATTTAAGAAACCTAGGGATAATGAACATTTGGCAGATGTCCTGGAAACGTATGAAGATAATACATTAACAATGAAAGGTGTTAATCCTACATAGGCTTCATTTATTAATATGTTACATTTATTTTATAAGCCGTAAATAAAAACTGTACCTTAACTTCAAAAAAAAAATTTGAATAATTTGAAGTACACATTTTTTATCCGATTTTGAAAATTTACACTTAACATGCTACATGTGTTGTCTTTCTATGTATCAATTTGAAAATAATATTATTTTTTAAGAGGAAAATAAATCATAAAAAGTGATTTTAAAAAAATTATATACCACATGATGTTAATGTGGTATAGTATAATTTTCACTTCTATCTTATATAATTTATTGTTTTTAATGAATGCGAATTAGCTCGAGATTTATGTCTGTTAAGATTTTTAACGGATACGTTGAGTGCAACATTAATTTTTATTATATAATAATGTCTACACATGGCAATATTTAATTTTTGTATGGAGAAGTTGTTAAAACTCATAGCCTTTGTTTTTCATCCTTGTGATTCACCTCAACAAATGTTTCACATAATAATGAGATTTTGTCTAGTGCTGGCCTTTTTCCATGCAGAATCAAGGTATAGTTTTTTTCCAAATTGGTGATTATGTGGTGCAATCGCGCATATTATTTGATTTTTAGTTCATACTGATTATTTTAATGCTTTAGTAATAACGATTAAAGTACATCCGTAAAACAAAAAATTATTTTTAAACTTCAACCGAAAAAAAGTCAATTTCATGAAAATATTTATTTTTGGTACTGATTCACGTGATTTAAATAAATTAAACAGGTCATTGCTATCTTATTTTTTTGAGAACAGCAAACTATAGAACATGTTTCAGTTATTCTAAAATTTTCAGTTTACAAAAAAAGTGACTATACCACATTACCAACCTATACCACATTTGCATCACTTCCACTATTCTGGATATCAATTCATCGTGAATTTGTTCGCTCTTTCCTTTAAAGTTATTCTGAACCTCAACTCGCAGCGAATGATTTCGCTTTTTCATTTTGAACTTGATGCAGAATAAGGGAAAATTTTTCGTTTAAAAAGGAGCGGACTACAAAAATATCAGCCTTATTCTGAATGCCAATTCCACGTGAATTTACTCGCTTCTTTTCTTTCGACTTATTCTGAACAACATTTCACGTGAATATTTCGCATTCTCACTTTCGCCTTATTCTGATTGAAGTTCGAAAGCGAAAAAATCTGCTTTGGGGGAAAAATAGGTATTTTGGATTACAGGGAGTAGGAGAATGTGATGTCATTTTGTGCGAAATTTTTCGCCAATAAATTTAAAGGGAGCTGACTACAAAAATATAAGTAGGTATTAAATATTTTTGTGAAAAATATCTACACAATACTTATTATATGACGATTTAGAATATTATAAATGATTGTATGCAATTTTTTAACTGGAAAACAACAAATAAAATGTCATTGGAAATCCTATTGATAACGATGGATGCTGAACCAAATATTGCCACAGAATGTATAAAGGTAATAAGGAATATTTAAGTCGAGTTTGATGCATTTTGGAGGCGAAATACAGACATTATGGGTGGGGATCTATCTCTCAAGAAAACAATTTCAATATTATGGAAACAACAAATTTGCTGATGAGCCGCTTAACAGTGGAAAACTTAAATAAAAATTATGAAATAACAAAAATAAAGCTACAAAACATATTTATTTTTCAAAATTATCGTGTGCATGGTTTGAAGGAAGAAATAAAGGAGTAGTAGCAAATCATTAAATAAATGGCCACTTTGCAGAAGTGAGATCTCTCCCTAGCAAATATCCAGTATAAGGCTGGACATATTTTCCTTTATTGTTTTGTTTTTTTTTTAAAAGTGTATAATAATGTATAGAGTAATAAGAAATAAAACACACTCATACACATGTTTATATTTTAAGAAATATTTATTTATTCATATATTTACTCCAATAAAAATGATATTGCAATATATTAGTATCAATAAATGTTGTTGATAAAAAAATGTTGTTGTATAAGAAAAGTTTACGGCAATATCGACGGGTGCATTTAAATGCTGTGTACAATAAAATATTTTTAATTTGTCAAAATGTATTTAAAATTAGTCCGTATCCGTAATAAATATTTTTTATATCAACCCTCGTCCTCGTTCTTCATAGACTCTTGCTCAATAGTAATTCAGGGGGAGGAAATTCTTGTCGCCGCTATCGTGAAATTAATTCGTCGCACTGCTTTTAAGTTGTCCTTTTATTTTTTTTACGTTTATTTTCAAATCCCATCAACAGTCTTGTCATTGTATTTTTTGAGAATGTTAGGGAAATTGATTTGTTTCAATACAGAAGTGGTCCGTGTATACATTTTGAAAATCGTTTTTTTTTTTTTTTTTTTTGTGGGATTTTATAAAGTAGTAGATAGGTCCATGTCCATCAGTATGTAATCCGTTTAAGTATATTCCCAATTGCTGAAGTTGAGTTGAATGGTTGTCCGATACAAATTATTCATGTATGAAATAAAGAATGTCTCTTTGCTTTTGTACATAAGATCACATTCTCAAAGGTTTGTCTTTGCTTTCATGTCTGTGAAAATAAAAATAAAAATTACTCGCATTAAACTGCTATTTTCTTGGTCATGTAAATGTTGTGCAAGTGTATGAATGGCTTGCCATATTTCACACAAGCTCGCAAAATGTCAATGTCTTCACAATAAATGATTATCGAAGAAGAAGAATAATTAGTACCTTAAGAACTTACCTTTAACATTTTCGAAACGAATAAAACATATTCTTTTACTGTGGGACTTACATTTAATTCCTACGCATTCGCTTGCGGCCATCATCGTCTTCGCCATTGCCGCGTTCTTCTGCCTTTAAGACCTACAAGTCAGTAAAGTAATTGATGAGTATGAAATATATTGTATAGTTCATTGAACAAACCTTTATTTTTGTGCCACAAATTTCTGCTCCATGTAAGACTCTCATGGCAGACTGTGCCGAATCGCGATCGGCATATTTAACATAACCACAATTCTTGTTCGGTAATAAGTAAACATCAATTAAACCTCTCCAGCAAGAGAATACATTTTTAAGGATGGAAATTGGTAAATTCTGAAAAATATGAAATTTCAAAAAAAAAAAAAAAAAAAAATAGAACTTAAATTACAAATGTTCTACTTTTTAAAAATGTGTGTTTTCTTTTAATTTAATGTAAGTTTTTATATTGCTGTAACTTCTTTAGCTTTTAAAATATCGCAATGAAGAAAAAACTGTATTTGATTTGTATGCTTTTAATGTCTTGCTATCGACCGAAAAACCATGAATGAATATTACGAAGTATTTTAAACATTCTTCTAACCAAAAGTTATGTGGTTTAAGTAAACATTTATAAATTATTTTGGGTTTTTGAGGTTTATGGTGGGTCGTCGAGAGCCTAACTTTGGCTTTTAAAAAAATTCCACCGCATTAAACTCGAAAAGCAGCCGATTTTTATCACCGTCTATGTTAAACTAAGTTTTGCTTCGTCTGTGCATATGAACAATGTTTCTGTAAATATGTGCACAGTGCCCGTGTCGCTCTTATAATTCATTCTCTTATCGTTAGGTACATTTATTATGTTTAACATTTCTAGAGTGAATCGTCGTTTATATTTATTTTCCTACGTCTATGTCTTTAAAATTCGGCGTATATTCAGTTTTTGTGCAATGTGCAGAAAGCGCGGTTTTTTTCTCTAAAGTTTTGTCTGAGTTTTGATCTGACTTATTTCCAGAAAATCTCGTCTTAAGTTTAGTTTTTGTTGTACCAACATATACCTTTTGGCATACGTTGGATCTGTCCCAATTAGATTTTATCTTATATTCTACGTTGCACTTTTCTTCCTTTTTATTTTTGATTTTGTTTTCCTGAACAGGCTATTGACGGTATTTATAGATTTTAAGGCTAATTGATAATTGTTCTTGTCTTAAGTATTCGAATTTCAAAAATGTGTCTTCTTAAAATGTTAGCCGTTACCCAATAGAAAAACTATCAAATGATCATAAACATTAGAATGGAAAATGCCTGTTAAAAACCCAATGTATATTGGGCAAATAAACACGTTTAGAAAAACTAACAAAAACACACTTACCGCAGACAAAACAATGAACAGCCTTTGAGCAACAGGAGCATCAAATGGAGCTAAAGGTTGTGCATCGGGCAATGGAACGTTGCAAATGGAATCCTTTTTCGGACGTCCTTAAAGGAAAAAAAATTAACTTATGACCACACTTATAATGCTGAATAAACTCACTGTCAATGAATGATGTATCAACGTGGTTACCGCCACTCATGCCAGAAACTTGGATTATTAAGCGTTCACCTATTGGATACTCTAATCCATGTAGTTTATCCCTGCAAAATATAACATAAATTATAATATATTCAAATCAAACATTGATAATAATAATAATAATTACTTTGCGTATATAGCAGCTTCTGGATTATCGTACACCACAAGAGCTTCATTTGTACGTGGATCATCTAAAACGAAACGTTGATTTATTTTTTATAACACAATAAATCATGATAATCTAATTTAAAATGCATAATTTCGTTAATTCTTAATCACTATTTAGAATTCTTTAGACTATTTTGAATGAATTGCAAATGTTGAATAGGAGTAGGGAAAGTTGAGAGAGTAATAACTTTGGGAAGGGATGGCAAGTGATGAAGTTTAAAATAGTATGCTACTTATTTTCAAATTATTCAGTTTTACTTACGTTCTCTAACAATTTGACAATAATCCAAACCAGGAATAATATCAAATAAACGCCATAACTGATCCTGGTTGACGCAATTGCTCACAATGACTTCTAAACAGGTTGGTTGTGATACTGGAGTATTTTGCATTCCCATAAACTGTGACATGTTGTTGTTAAACGAATTGTTACCCCAATCGTTGAAGCCATTATTAAAATTCGCTCCCCCTCCCATTGGAATGCAGTTCAAATTTCCACCGCCGAAACCAACTCCGCCAATATTCCCACCCATATTTCCAACACCACCACCACCACCACGTCCGCCCATCATTGGTTCATCACGGCCTCCGCCGTATTGATCTCTATTACGTGTCGTGCTTCCTTTGGGTTCAGCAAACATGGCCTTGTAATGAGCTGGACAATTTTCAAAAGCCACAGCAGCATCATAAAATTTCGAAAATCGAATATAGGCAAATCCTTTGGAATTTCCCGTTTGCTTATCGCGTACTAAAGTAACATTTTCAACGGGTGCCCATTGGCTGAATTCATCCCGTAAGTCCTCCTCGGTGGCTGTTTTGGGGCATACAATAAAAAGGCGAATATATTTCTCATGTTCATTCTCCGATTTACTTGAACCTTGATTACGGCTATGGGAACAAACAAACAAAATACAACATGACATAAACAATTGCACATACACACATACATATGTGTATGTGAATTAAGGCTTGACTCATTTCATTACTTACTTTGCTGCAACGAGAACTTTGAGGGTACGATCCAAAGAACCTATAGTTTTTCCATTCATTTCCTCCTGAGCTCTTGCAGCCTCAGTTGTTTTGGAAAACTTTACGTATGTTATCCCTTTGTTTTCGCCAGTGTGTCGATCTTTTACCACCCAAATATCTTCTATATGACCGAAACGCGAAAATGCCTCCCTAAAGTCCTCCTCCTGGTGAGCTTTATTGCAAATAATAAACAATCGGGACATCGGTGGAACATCTTCATTCGGATCTCCTCCACGGCGCGAGTCCCGATTTCCATTTCGCGAATTTGAGCGATTTTCAAACATAATTACAAGAAATTCTTAACACACTCCAAAAAAATTGCCGGTCGGTCTATAGAAAAAAATTATACATACACAGCAGTAGGGAGAGCTAAGTCGACTTTCGATTTTTTGTATTGAAGAGTCCAAGGTAGATATACAAGGTAGCCGCATCAGCGAATTTCTACAACAAACATCGGTTGTTGTATTTTGATATGTCAAAAATATTTTGCCAAAACAAACAGACTGACAAGATTTTTTTTTACACAAATTGTTGTAGAAAATGTTAATAAAAGTATTGCCAAAAATGATCTTCGAAATTCGGAGATTTTCATTTATAATTTTGCTTTTAAATTTTTTTGGTTCAACATTACAACAAAATTTTTGACATTTATTTGCACCAACAGCTGGGCCGATGCGGCTACCTTATTAAATATATCTTGGAAGAATCTTAAAGTCCAAGTCGACTTTTAATGTAGAGGAAATCACAAAGTCGACATTTCATGATCGACCTTCGATTAAATTTGGTTTTTATACATAGAGCTTGTGGCAATATCGATTATATCATCTTTTAAATACAGAAAATAAAGTTTTATTACATTTTGCGTTAGTCGCAAAAGTCGAATATCGATTTTAATAGACTTTGCGTTATTTACCAAAAATCAAAAGAATAAAAAGTCGCAAAGTTTTATGTCAGAGGCAAATATCGAAAATTTTAAATCAACTTTTGAGCTCGACTACGTATCCCCACCCAGAAGCTACAAAGATACAAAGACGGCGACCATTTTTATATCGGCGATGGTTTTTTTCGTTCTAATACAATGGCGTACTTTACTTACTACAAAAGATAAAGCGTATTTAGACTTCGAAACCCATTCGACGTGGACAACCACTGGTAAAACTTTATCTGCCTTATTCTGGCAGATAGTTTTTTTAATTTTTTTTTCGCTTTCACATTCTCGCCTTATTCTGAATGAATAGGGAAAGCAAAGAAACAACTCTAGTTTAATAAAAATGATCAGATTTTTCTGAAATTTTTTCCAGAGGTAGGTATTTTTACACTAATTATGGGGATATCTTTTTTTCTTGGGGGACGTACCCGGTTATTTGACCCGGAAGTTCGGGTACGGGTACCCGGTTATATCCGGTTCTGCGGGTCCGGTTAATATAAAATGGGTATCATTTTAAAGGTTATAAAAATACCTTTCCATTGAGTGGTAATTTGGTGTTAACTCAAACCGTTTTGGAGATATAGTCAAAAAACTGGGTTTTGGTCCCCGATTTTTTTGAAAAGCTCCCTAAAAGTCGAACTTGGGTCCATTATATCCCCTCGCCATCCCAGACTCAAATGATTTGCCCTTTCCAAAATCGTGCGATATGTGGCAGTATCTATTGTGGATCAAAAGATATGGGCCTTAGAACCCTATAAAAACAAGGACAATCTTTCTATATGACAGAATCTCCTTTTAAATAGCATGGTGTTTTTGGGGTGACCGGCCTTCGGCCGGGGATTTAAGACTTTCTCCTACGGACAGATACCAACACCGGCTACGCGACAGAAATTCCTTCTAAATAGAATATTTTCTTGTTTAGTCGGCCTTCGGCCGGGGATTTAAGATTTCTCCTATGGACAGATACCAACACCGGCGACGCGACAGAATCTCTTGTTAAATACATAGAATATTTTTTTTTTTTGGTGACCGGCCTTCGGCCGGGATTTATGGACAGATACGCGACAGAATTTTCTTGTTTTTGTAGGGTTCTAAGGCCCATATCTTTTGATATGGGCCTTAGAACCCTACACAAGAAATATTCTATTTAGAAGGAATTTCTGTCGCGTAGCCGGTGTTGGTATCTGTCCGTAGGAGAAAGTCTTAAATCCGCGGCAGAAGGCCGGTCCCCCCAAAAACGCCATACTATTTAAAAGGAGATTCTGTCATATAGAAAGATTCTCCTTGTTTTTATAGGGTTCTAAGGCCCATATCTTTTGATCCACAAATGGAATTGTGGACCGAATCGGAACAATACGCTGTCGGTGTACATGTCTTGCCCAAGCATTTGGATGAAGAAGTTGCCAGTTTGCACTTGGAGAAATTGGGTGTTAAATTGACCAAATTGTCAGAGAAACAAGCTAAATATTTGAGTATTCCCATCAATGGTCCCTTCTAGCCTGATCATTACAGATATTAGATTTTGTTTCTTTTTATTTTACGTTATGATTTTTACAATAATTTGAAATATAATGTCATCACCTTCTCCCTCCCTCTCCAAATAAGAAAAATTATGTTTTGAAATGAAATATTTCGGAAACTTTTTCTATTCGATTTTAAGTAATAAAAACAAATAAAATGATGATTCTGTTGACAAAGAATTTGTAAACTAAAGATATTGTCTTTTTAACTTTTTGTAATTTTATTGTTTGAAGAAGAATGTATCTTACTCCCACAAACGAACTTACTGAATAATTTTTACTGTATTTAACTTTTCAGGTGAATAAAATCGTACGCATACGCATGAATTTATGTACGACCCATAAGTATTGTGTATTTTTCATAAAAATTTTTAATACTTATGTTTTATTCGGAATAAAGGGAAATTGAAATGCGAAAAAATTCACTGCGAGTTCCGGTTCAGAATAACTTTTAAGGGAAGAGTGAACAAATTCACATTGAATTGATGTCCAAAATAAGGTTGTATATTATAATACAAAATATTTAAAACATTTACCTCGAATACGAAGCATTTATCGTCTTTCAGTTATCAGTTTGTATAACCGCGTTTAGACAACGAAATCCACTCGATTTCAAATGTCAATTCCATAGCGTAAAACGGCGTGTACATAGAACTTTTTACGGGTTAACCTACATTATGAGGATTTATTTAACATATATACAATGGAATTGACAATTAAAACCTATTTCGTTAACGAAAGCTAGTACAATGTAAATGCACTATAAATATATAATAGGTAAATACATTGGTATTTATTTGACTTAAACGCTACATTTGATATCGGAAGATTTATTAAGTTTAAAAGTACTTTCATATTGTTTTCAAATGTCGTTGAAAATTGTTTAAAATACTGGTATGGGGAACTAGATAGAATATTAGCAAATATTTCATTTATTTTATAATTCAGGGCATATAAAATTAAACACATACATATTATTTTTGTTTTTTATTCTTTATTCTATACATTTTTTGTAAATAGAACGAACGAAAATGGAATACTTGTAAAAGTATTTAATCTTACTGTTGCTATAAATAATGAATGAATGGAATTTGGACTTAAATGTTTTCCAAAACTAGAGCCGATTACTTCAGTAAATTGTGATGGATTATTATTTGTTGTTAGTTTGTATTTTAGTGTGTGCAGTAGAGTAGGTAGGTAGTTAATTCCTTAAGGTAAGTAAATCCGTTATTTATTATTTTGTTAGTTTCCAGTTGTGTTGTTGAAGTTGTTGTAACATTTGAGTTGTCAGTTTAATGTGTTTTGTAATCGTTTAAGTCCATTGTTGTTACTTGTATGTCTGTGGAAACAAAAGATAAATATACCTTCAATTATGAAATACCAATTTCTGCAGAAACGTGGTTTTTATCATGATACATGATAATAATTCGATTTTAAACTAAAGTAAAATTGGTACTTACCGGGAAATATCTCACTACAAACAACGAAAATTAAGGTGTATGTTAAAGACTTACTTGTTAGTTACGACGCATGCGCTTACGACTTCCATCGTCGTTTGTGTTTTTAGAACCATCATTTTTAACTTGCTCTTCGGCTTCCACGATCTAGATAAATGAAAAAAAGACATTTTAAAATAAAAGGACTTTAAAGAATGACACGACCTTAATTTTAGCTCCACATATTTCAGCACCGCTTAAAGTTTCCATCGCTTTCATGGCGGAATCTTTATCAGCGTATTTAACATAACCACATGATTTATTTGGTAAAAAATATAAATCAATTAGACCAGTCCAACAGGAAAATATATTTTTTAAGATGGCAACGGGGACAGGCTGGAAGAAATTGATAATTTTGTTAAAACATAGCATTAAAGTTAAATTTCTTATTTGTACTGTTGGCATTATCATAAATAAACGTTTTGCCACTGGAGAATCGCTAGGCGCCATGGGTTGTGTTTGTGGTAAAGGAACACTACAAAATGTCTCCTTTCGAGTATGCTCTAAAATATCAAATATGTTAATATGCATTTTATTTTTGTCTGCACTAACATACTCTCTATAAACGATGTATCAATGTGTGCTGAACTCATATCAGATAATTTGACTATAATACGTTCACCAACGGGATATTCGAAACCATGTATTTTTTCTCTGCAAAATATACAAACAGTAAATTTTAGTACAATAAAATCTAACAATATTACGCGGATAAATGTTTTACTTGGCATATATTGCAGATTCTGGATTGTGATAAACGACTATGGCTTCATTGTTGTAATCACCCTCTAAAAAGGTAATTATGTAGATATCATAATTCGCCTGTGAAAAATCAATCTTATATTTACCTTTAAGAATTTGACAATAATCTAGGCCCGGAACAATATCAAATAAGCGCCAAAGCTGATCTTGTTTAATTGTCTTGCTAACAATAACATTCAATGACATCGGTTGAGATTGTTCACTCTTCTTCAACTTGAGTAGCTGGCTGGGTTCGCTTTTCTCGGAAATTTGATCGTCCGTAGAGCGTTTTGAATTTTTGGGATCGGCAAATTTGGCTTTATATTTTGGTGAGCAATTTTCAAATGCCAAAGCTGCGTGATAAAATTTTGTATAGCGTATGTAACCAAAACCCTTTGGGTTACCAGTGTCCTTATGGCGTATCAATGTTACACTCTCAACAGGGCCCCATTTTTTAAATTCATCGCGCAATTCCTGTTCACCAACCTCTTTGGGGCATTGTATGAAAAGCCTTACACATTGTTCTTGTTCAATTTTTTGAGACTTATTAGAGCCTTGACTGCGACTATACGAATCAATAAGTTATCGAAAGTTGTATCCTATGTAGATATATGTGTATCTAGTAAAGTAAACACCACCTACCTTGCAGCAACAAATACCCTTAATGGTCGATCAGATTTTCCTATGATACTACCATGTAATTCTTCCTGGGCCTTGGCAGCCTCCGATGTTTTTGCATATTTAACGTATGCGAAACCTTTGTTTTCCCCTGTTTCCTTTTCTTTGATAATTTTCACGTCCTGTAAAATACCGTAGGGCGAAAAGCTTTTCCGGATATCATTTTCTGTATGAGTTTTGTCGCAGAATATAAAGAGCCGCGACATTGGAGGATCGTCCTCACTTGTTTCGGAACTACGTCCAACCTCATTTGCGTGTTCAGAATAATCCGGCATTGTGAACTATATGATTTTTTATAAATGTTCCGTATTTTATGTGGAAGTTGCGTCGTCCCGAATAGGGATACGTAAGTCGACTTTCGACTTTTTGTATTGAGAAGTCCAAGGCACATAAAGTTGGTACATAAAAATGTCAAAAAAATTAAAATATCCGAATTTTGAACAAACTCGGCAAAATCAAGATCTATTCAAGGTGTATTTAATAAGGTGTATGCATCAGATACAACAACAAATATTTTACAAAAACAACATTGTTGTTATAGAAATTAAATTGTCACGTGAACAATAAGTTTTTGACAAAAAGAAACAAAAACAATTATTAATTTATTTTTGTCAAGAACTATTCTTTGAGGAATAATTAACCCTTTGTGGCCCAATGTTGCCCACAGGCAACAAAATGTTTTAGAGCTTATATTTTATATGCAGCTAGTAGATATGTATTATTTGGATTTCATATGTGAAGACCTAATTATGGACGACACATATCAGAAGAAAAATCAAAAAAATTCAAAAATTTCGTAAAGTTATGAGCTTTTCAATATAGAGAAGAGGGTAAATTTGTGTACAGTACTAATTTGTATATACACTCCAAATTATTTAATCGCTTTGTATTCGAATTGTACAAATTCTACCCTCAGAATTATTTTTGATTCTTGTAAAATTGAATACAGAGGATAATTTAAAATGATTTTTCTGACGATTTTGCATTTGGTTTTCTTGATATTGGACTTTATTTTTTCCGAAAGAATGTACTGTATCTCCCGAATGCAAGGATATATCGATGTCAAATTTTGTGCCTATCCTATTTAGGATAGTTGCATTAAATCTGTGAACAGAAATTTGTCCTAAGATTGCGGGAAAAAATTCGGGGCTCAAAGGGTTAATGAAGTTGTGTATTCTTGGGTTATTAGCGGTTTTAGGTCAGTGAAAAATAAAGTTTAAGACCGGGTCGCGATTAATTTTAAGTTTCCCACATGCAGCCCACGGCTCCTTGTGATGCTGTTTATATTGTGAATTACAATCTATTTTTTTTTTGGATTGGCTTCAAATCTTGTCTTCTTAAAGAAAATTGAAGAACATAAATCACCGGCCAAAGACTAAACCATGGAAATTGTGTTGAACGTATAAAATCTTTCCATAGGCGTATTTAACCTCCGCCGAGGATTGTGACAAGCACCAAGGGGCCGATTCCAATATAGGCTAACACAATCTCCTCGATTTTATGAGTAGCTGGGATTTATGGACAGATTTCCACACATAACATAAAACATGTGGACCAATCGGCGAACGGGGTTATAACTGATTTAATCCTAGGTTTCCTTTCATAGATGCGGACCTCTATGAATGAAGTTTTCTTGAATTTTTATTATTATGACCTCTATGAATGAAGTTTTCTTGAATTTTTATTATTAAAAAGCCTAAATTTAAAGACCATTTTTGAAATCGAAATGTTATTGAAAATGTTTTTGACAATTTACTTTACAAACAAAAAGGAAAAAAGTTTGAAACCATATGATTGTCACTTACACCTTATTAAATACGCCTTGGATCTATTAATAAGGCCATCAACCTAGCGAAAGTCAGCTGTATTTTTTTCATGTCGAATGTCAACAATTTTGAATTTGTTTAGGTTTTTATAATGAAAGTCTATTCACATTAATGAATTTTGACAGCAAACTTGAGAGGCAGCTGATATCCTGCTGGTCTTCCTAGATGACCTTATTTATAGGCCTTGGGCAAAACATTTATTAATATTTTCCGAATGAATTTGTTTAAAAAATATGTATGAATCGCTTTGTTTTTGCAAACAATTTTTGACATGTCATTGTACTACAATAGTTGCTGATGCGGCTACCTTCTTAAATTTGTCTTTTAATGTGTTCATGGTGTGGGTGCTTAAGCTTTTTTGTATACCAAAAATGTAAATAGTATTTCCGATAATATTGTATTGAAATAAAAACAAAGAAATAAAACTGATCTATATATTAAATCGTATTGAGATTTCTTTATTTGTATGTTAATACCGTTTAGAAATGCTGGACTTCGATAATTGATTATATGAATATATTAAATATTTATATTGAAAATTTCAAACTTTCTAGTAAGTGTTACACTTGTATATATGTCCTATAGATTTACTCATTCCACAGTTCTTCGTCGCGTCCAAATTTGTATGTAAGATTAGATAAGAGTATCAATAAATTTTGCATAAGTAATGCCACCCCAAGACCAGAATCCTTTTTGGCTGTATTGTGAATTATTAAAATAATTAGTCCTAAACATGGAATGTGAACACAGTTACAAATACTTACGATTGTTAATGAAGTCATCAATCATTACCCATATAGCTGCAATAATGGAAGCAAATCCCATAACAAAACCAATTAGCAGCCATATTTTTGCAATTCTAGCTCCGGATTCGGAGGTATTATCTTCAGATATCTATAAAAGAAGAAATGAATTTCTATTATAATGTGAATAAAATGTGTAAAATTAAAATATGTTTTTGAGGCTGGCACTAGAGGACTGGAGGAATATACATAGTTGCAGGCATTTTAACCACATTTGATTAGCAAATTAACTATCTTTGGGAAAATTATATTAAAATGTATCTGCCGGATTAGATTAATTATTTCGTTATGGAATGTTAGTTGCTTTGAAGAAGATGGAGCAGTAAACTTTGCAGATACAATATACAAAATAAAACGCAATATAACAAAATTACTTACATGTGAATTTTTAACGGTGTTTACCATGAACAGGCTAATTGTACCAAAGATTCCAATAAAGACATGACCAGTGGTTATTTGATGTTTGGGGTCTACTGACATTGCATCTATTAATGTCCACCATCCTGCAAAGAACTATAGAAAAAATATATTTTTTTAGTTTATATAAAATTTTAATAGCGTAATGGAAACACAAATATTTTCAACAAATATATCCATAATGTCTACTTCGTCTTGGTTCCTAAAAAAATTAGAATAATTACAATTTCGTCGTTCCAAAAACTTGGCAACTAACAATTGCAAGACTTCATATGAAATTAGGTACAAACTGTTGTGATTTTCAAACAAAGCTGTCAGTGTATTTGAACATAATAGTTTCCTTTGGGATGCTTTTAACTTATGTTGACTTTCCCCTGAAGTTTTGGAAATGCACCATAGTCTTAAAACTAAACATTTTCAGAATGAGTCCAACTTGCTCCTTATACTTTTTATGGACCACAACAGACAAATATACAAAGTCAACATATATACATAAATGTATACTGCGACGATATCGAAAACAAAGGCATAACAAAATTTGTCATTTGACCAAAATTTTTCATTTGGGCTTACCAACAATCCCGCAATTAATGAAGAATTTTTGTTGCGAGCTGTTTCAGATGTGAACCAATCCCTAATATTATCCAAGATTGACATATTCACAAAAATTCTATGCAAATTATTCGTTCTATAAAATTGTAAGCTTGCTTCTTCTTGTTTTTTTTTTTTTTTTGTTGACTAATAATTTGAAATGCAGGGATGGAAAATTCAGTAGAATAGTACTTTTTTCAGTACCTTTTTACCCAAAAAAGTACCCCCGTGACCATTTCAGTACCATTCCAATCATCTATTAAACCATGATATATATACATTTTTTGGATTAGAATTTGTTATGGATTTGACCGGAAAAAGTATTGCAGATAAAGATATTGATGTGATTGTTTTTTTTTTTCTTAAAAAAAATTAATGGGTTTACAGTAAGTTTACATTTAATCGGATTTCGTTAACCCAGTGGGTTTCAATTGTCATTTCCTTTGCATATATGTCAAATAAATCCTCATAAAGTAGGTTAACCCCGACAAAAAGTTCTAATGTACAAGGAGTTTTACGACTGATAACTTTTCAGTTATGATTATAATTACAAACATTAAATTAAATTATTTGTTCCAATCTTTTTTAACCGGATATGTTTGCCAGATACTCAATTTGGCGTACTCTGCGCTATCTCCTGAGGTAGGCAAATTGATGACATAGTCGTCGTGATTACTTCAAAATTTTCAAGAGCACTTTGGAACTGAAATTCATGTTATAGTACGTTTACATTTAACCGGATTTCGTTAACCCAGTGGGTTTCAATTGTCAATTCCTTTGAATATATGTCAAATAAATCCTCATAAAGAAGGTTAACCCCTGTAAAAAGTTCTAATGTACATGTCGTTTTAGTTTGGGGTATATTGACTTTCGAGAAAGAGGTAGTGAAATTAAAATAAGTCAATAGCATGTTCCAATAAACAGGTCGTGTCAAAGGCAATCGTTATCGACAATTTTGGAGTAAAATCCCCCATACTGTCAAATATTTTGTTTACGTTTTCACACAATAGTCAGAATCGAAAAAAATTGACAGCTCGGGTGAAATCATCTGGCCTTATCGGAGGACCTTATTATTGGATCATGATCAATAGCATACATATTCAAATGCAATCGAAAGAAGCAAGAATCCCCATATTATTACCAACAGAAAGATAGACTAAGTGATGATATCTTGAAAATCGATCTTTATGAAACTGAATAATTTTTTTTATTTTCTTAAAAAAGTACTCTTTTGGTACCTTTTCACATTTTTCATTTTCCATCCCTGTTGAAATGTAAAGTAGGGATCAAGATCTATTAATAAGGTCACCAAGATAGCAATCGAAATCGGAAAACAGCTGTTTTCTCTCAAGTCTAATGTCAAAAACATGGCCTATAAATAAGGTCACCAAGATAGCAATCGAAATCGTAAAATATCTGTTTTTTCTCAAGTCTAATGTCAAAAATTTCGACTTTGTTTACGTTTTCATAATGGAAGTCAATTCACAATAATGCATTTTGACAGCAAACTTGAGAGTTATCGATAATCAGCTGGTCTCCCTTGGTGACCTTATTTATAGGCCATGGTCAAAAATTTCGACTTTGTTTACGTTTTCATAATGGAAGTCAATTCACAATAATGCATTTTGACAGCAAACTTGAGAGGTATCGATAATCAGCTGGTCTCCCTTGGTGACCTTATTTATAGGCCATGCATGGTACAATAAATAGGTAGTCCATTTAGCGCAGCTGACGATTCGGTTAAATCTCAAAGTTTCTATTAGTGGTTTTTTCCCTTTCTGCAAGAATCTAAAAGGCTAAGCTGAATGCTCGCGTTGAGCCATCCGTCCTGTTATATATTATAGAAAATACAACAACCACAAGGAAACGATAACACAAACGCTCGAAGTTGATGTGCGCTGCGCTTCGGAGTTAAATATATTTTAACTTTTTGCGTGCGTTAACGCGATAACAAAAAACGCTCAACGCGAACATTCTGTTTAGCCCTTAACTCCGAAGCACAGCGCACATCAACTTCGAGCGTTTTTGTTATCGTTTCCTTGTGGTTGTTGTATTTTCGATAACACATAACGCAACGGATGGCTCAACGCTGTTTGATCTGTTGATCTGTTTCCGTACAGCAAGAATCTACTACTTTTTACTACGATAACGAATTTTCGAATGATATCGAAAAAAATAGTAAAATCTAGTAGATTCTAGCAGTACGGGAACAGACCAGATGTCTATTATTATCCCCGGTATCGTAAAGGAAAAATTGTTATCGTAGTAATAATTGTACGTTCTTGCAGTTCCTGGAACAGACCATTGAATTCCATGTGCAAAGTTGTCAACAATTGACATATGGTCGGGGCAAAAAGGATGACCTTATTTTTGGGACATGCCTTGTGTCATACGGCATGGCCCAATAATAAGGTATCGGAGGCCAGATAATTTCACTGCAGCTGTCAAAATGCTTTCAATTTTTACTTAATAGTGTGAAATCGTAAACAACAACTTTTAAAGTTTGGGGGATTTTCAACAAAAAATTGCCAATAATATTCGCTTCTTGTTTATTGGGCCATGGCACAAAGCCTATATAAGGTAAGCGAATTCATAGACAAAACAGCTGCTTCCATGGTATAATTATTACAAGGTAGGGCACAGCTACCAACTGATTACAATTTTTTCTCAAGGTGGCTTGTTCCATCAAATCAAAATACATATTTTGTGTATGTGTGTGTATTGTTTATTATGCCAAATAAATTCAAAATAAAATGAAATGTATTCAAATTTAATAGAAATGGAAATTATGCATTTACATTTTATGGTATTCCCTACTGGATTTTGGGAAGAAATCATAACCTTTCATTCATTTTTCGCGTTTTTAGTTTTGTGTTGAAAAAATGACAAACACAAACACTTGTTGCGTATATTTATTTTATTTTTGGCAGAAGAAGCCACACGTGCATAGTTTCTTTTTTGTTACTCACCTCAAGCTGCCCTACCTTACAAATTTAAAATTCTATCGCTTCCAAGTCTTTCTTCCAATCGAGCCATTGCCATATGTAGAGATAACCCACGCAAAAACCCTAAAAATAGCGTTCAAAATTGCTATTGTAAATTGCTAAGTAAATTGTAAACGAAAGGTCAACGAACTTCTTTTATGATTTCTTCGATTTGAGAATGTATATTTTTAAAATTGCAGATTTAAACCTGTTTAAAATATTTATTATATTGTTACGAATATAAATTTAGATGAAGTCCGTTAATTTAAGAATTTGAATTGTAACGTAAATTTGTACTACGCAGTTTATTTGAATAACTTCACAACAACAACTACTGTATAGATTTTTCTACATCCTTCCATTTCCTCTTTCATTTTCTATTTTGTTATTGTCGTACAATTCTTGTTAAACGTCATCATTGATGATCGCTTAATTCCTCTTTCTTTGTTACCCCCTCGCCTGTATATGTGTTGTTGTTATTGTTTACTCAATGTAAGTTTGTATGTGTTGTTGTTATTGTTTACTCAATGTAAGTTTGTATGTGTGCTTGTTGCATTGGTAGATTGTTCGTGATCTAGGTGTTACCAGATCGTCTAGAAACTTCTGTAGCGACAGGCAGGGCTCATATAAATAGAGGAAATGGAAAGGCAGTGAGTCAGTTGTGAATCAGATCGCGAATTGAAACCGTCAAGTAACGTAAAGCTGTAAAGTAACGTGCAAAGTAAAGTTGTGTGAATAAAATCATTGTAATAATCGTAATCAGAACGAACCCGCGTTTTATTTGGTACGAACTGTATCGGGAAATAAAACAACGTCTACACGGGATTAAGCAAAATCCAAGAACGTAACAATTGGTGTCGGAAGTGAGATTACGATAATACTACGATGAAATTTAAGGATCTACGAGTGGAAGACTTAAAGAAGGAGCTCAATAAATTGGAATTGTCCTCTACTGGCAACAAGGCTGAGCTACAAAAACGTCTGTTGGATGAGTTCGAGCGCCGTGGTATGAACATCGATACATATGAGTTTGACAGTAAGGATGAAGTGGATTTATCGGAAATGGGCGAATCCAACGGTGGGGAAGTCTCGTCAGTAGCTGCCAAGGGTGACGATTTCAGAGAAATGCTGGCCAAAATGTTTGAGGAAAATTTCAGAAGGTTCGAAGAGAATTCCAGAAAGTCAGAAGAAAACACGAGACGAATGTTCGAAGAGAATTCCAGAAAGTTAGATGAAAATTCGAGAATAATGAACGAGAAACTCGAGAACATTACAGAAGTTATTGGAAGGAGAGTGGAAACCGTGGAGGTCCAAATTAAAGAGTTGGATAAGAAAGTGCAGTCGGTTGACGAGAAGATTCTGTCTGTGGATGAGAAATTTCTGGTCCACGACCACAGGGTTACGAATCTGGAGAAGAAAATGACGGAACTGGAAATTAAAGGTGGTCCGGTGCGAGTTCCTGATACCACACTAAAAATCAAACCTCCTGTATTCGACGGCTCTACGTCATTCAATGTTTTCAAGTTACAGTTCGAGACAGTGGCTTCTAGAAATTCGTGGAACGACAGCGACAAAGCGGTTGCACTACTTCTGGCATTGAAGGGCAGTGCTGCTGATGTTATACAGAGCATTCCTGTCGCTTCTAGGAACAACTATGAAGATGTTATTGCTGCACTGGAACGTAAGTACGGTGGCGAACATAAACAAAACATCTACCTTATGGAATTAAGGGGAAGAGTGCAGAGTACAAACGAGACGTTGCAAGACTTTGCAGCTGAGGTGGAACGTTTGGTGCTAATGGCGTATCCAGGAGAGAATCACCCATTGGTGGACCGTATTAAAATCGAAACCTTTGTGAATGGCATACGTGACCCTGAGATTAAATGTGCAACATATGCGTCACCAAAAGCGTCATTTGCCGAAACCGTGTCGTTTGCCCTTGCCCAAGAGACGGCAAGAATGATTGTTAAGCCCCAGACCTACAAGATTAGCCAACTGGAGACCGAATGTTGCGAACACAAATATCTCGTTAACTTGATCAAGGACGCCATGAGGCGGGTAATAGAAGAAACAAAGTTAGTAGGGATGACTAAGCCCTGG